AAAATATTTTTAAAAGAAAATATATATGAATTGATCAGTTTTTCCATTGCTAGTACAAAATACCTGATATTCTCCACTTAGAGGAGGAGAGGTTTAATTTGGCTCACAGTTTCAGTCCATGGTTGGCTAGCTCCAAGGAAGAAACAGCATGCAGAACTGCACAGTACAACAAACCTGATCACTTTATGGTGGCTGGGAAGCAGAGCATGGGGGATGACCACAAGAAAGAAAGAGGCCAAGGTCCAGAGAAAGACATCAAGGTCACTCCTCCATGACCCAACCAGACACACCCACAAGTTTGCTTTACTAATCTCAAGCCAATTGACTTGACAAGATTGTTACAAGATACAAATACAATTTTAATTTTTCTGCCACCATTCTAAACCAAACAGCCAATATCTTCTATTTGTACTGGTATAAAAAGCCTGTAACTAGCCTCTTCCTCTAATCCTTGGCCCACAAAAGGCAGCTGAGAGAGAGCAAAGTGTGATAACTTCATGGACACAGTTTCAATTTGGAGTGGTGAAAAGCTAGAACTAGAATTAGACAGTGGTAATGGTTGTACAATATTGTAAAGGTACTTAACACTACTGAACTGTTTATTTTTAAATGGTTAAAATGATAACTTTTGTACTGTATTCTATCACAATTATAAAAAAAGGTGCCATGAGTATTTTTAAAAGTCCAAATTGTTTCATTCTATTCACTATATTAAAACTATACTCCACAGCTTAGTTGATAAAGCCTTCATGATCTGGTCGTGGTGTACGCTCTGCCTATATATAATCGGTACTGCCATCATGCCCCTATTGAGTGAGACAACATCCCCCAACTAAGAATCCCTTACTATGCTCTTTTACACTATACTCTATTTTTACTTCATACCACTAAATAGGTAATTATATATTCATTGTATATCTATATAATATTTTACTGTTCCACTAGACTATAAATTCCTGAGATTAAGGGAAATATCTTTTATTCACTACTATATAAACAAAGCCTAACTCAGAGTCATTCTCAGCTAACCAATCAAAACATCTTTGGATGAATTATGCTGCATATAAATAATAGTCACAGACTGCAAACACAATGCTGCCTTCAGTATACTTACAACATATGGAAAAAATTCTTACAAAACTATTTTCAGGAAAGTACATTTTAAATTTTATTATTTAGGCTTTCCATTTCTACAGATTTTATTTTGAATTTTACTCTTTAAAACTTGGTTTCTAGGGCTGGGGATGTAGCTCAGCGGCACAGCACCTGCCCGGCAAGAATGAGTCCCTGAGTTTGATTCCCAGTACACTCCCCCCAAAAAACTCAGTTTCTTTATATGTACAGTGGGCATAGTTGTAGTTCTGAAAGCACAGTAATCCAAATAAATGTAAGTAAACATATGCTGTCACACATTAAATGAAGTAACATCAGAACTAGTAAACATTCCTCTTGCTTACAAGAATGTATTAATAGTCTCAGTCCAATGGACTCCCCCAGAGACCAGAGGATTTCCGGTTTTGTCTGCTGCTTTTATGGTTAATTCACCATAAATTTCCGAGAATCAACTACCCTTCTCATCCTTTTTATCACCATTTCTTTACATCCTATTATCACTACAGCCCCCTGTTAAAGGGTTTCCACAAATATTCTACTAAAACAGATCTTATCAAGGTCACATGAAATCTCGAAGTTGCCAAATTAAATTGTCAGTTCTGTCTTTATACTATTAGAAATTCATGATATACTTGACCACTCTCCTCCCTGTAATATTTTTGCTCTAGGTTCCCAAGTCAGTATACTCCCTGGGTTTCCTCCTGTCTCATTAGTTGCTCCTCTGTTAGATTTCTATGAATTGGGTTATCTTCAAGACTTGATATTCTCTTCTCCATCTACACCTTTTGACAATTTTAGTCCTAGTGTCCAAATATATGTTCAATAATTTATACACAAACACACACACACACTTATCTACATAAAGAGATTTTCTTTATATCTGCCTATATATACAGGCACATACACACAATCACCACCCCTAAATCTGCTATGTCAAATTTAAGATGCATAACTTTTTGTTGTTGTTTTTTGAGACAGGGTCTCACTATTTGGTTCAGGCCTTGAACTCACTATGTAGCCCAGACTGGCCTCGAACTCATGGCAATTGTCCTGCCTCAGCCTTCTGAGTGCTGGGATTAAAGGCATGGGCCACCCTACTGGCTTTAAGATGCATAACTTCTGACCTACCCTAACCCCAATAAAAACTGTAATTCTCCTCAGTTGATCTTATCTCAGTTACTGTTATGTCCTGTATCTAGATGTCCCCCTAAAACCTCATGTGCTGGGCCGGGGATTTAGCTCAGTGGTGCTGCCACCTACCTCACAAGTGTAAGGTCCTGAGTTCGATCTCACTGCCAAAAAAAAAACCTCATGTGCTCATAGCTGGGGCTTTTCGGAGCTTGCTGGATCTAGGGCATGTGATACTGGGATTAAGGTGTGTGGTACTAAATTAGTCCACTGATTGGAATTAGCATAGCTCTGAGTATGACTGAATGGATTTACCGAAGATAAAAACCTCACCCTGGATGTGAGTGGCACCACCAAAAGGCTTGTAGCCTGAATGAGATAAAAGGGACTGGCAGGCTCAGTGCTGCTTGCTGCCTCCAGCCTGCCATGCCATGAACTATTTCTCCTCTGCCATACCTCGATGCATGCCACCCTGCCTTTGAGCCAGCCAACTATGGACTGAAACCTCTACAAACTGTGAGTTGAAATAAACCTTTCCTCCTTTAACTTGTGGGTGTTAGGTATTCCGTCTCAGTGATGAGTAAAGTAATTAAGACAATTCCTCATACCACTATCCATCCAATTATTCAGAACAAAATTTTATGGATCCCTAGTAGTGACTACTGTATTCTCCCTCAGCCCTGTCAGCTTGTATCAACAAATCCTATCTTCTGTGCTTCCGTTTTATCCAATCAACTTCTCTCTTTACAACCACCACTCTAATTCATCAACTATTTTAATGGCTTCATAGTAATCCCTAGTTTCACCCTTGCCTTTCTACACAGCTACCAACCCAAATGATTTAAAACACTATTCATCTCATCACACAACAATAGTCCAACTTAAACCCCCAAAGGCTTACCTCTGCTTTTAGAATAAAATCAAAAGTCCTTTCCAAGATTTTCTCCCTTATTCACTAAACTCATTCACTAAAATCTTACTGGCCTTCTCTCTACCCTTCAAACATGAAAGATAATTCCTATTCCTGCCTTCTCGTTTAATGTTCACCAAACTTAGACATTCTTCTTCCTAGATCTTCACATAATGGCTCCTTATTCAGAGCTTCTGGCCATCCTAGATGGTTAAGGACTCCTATTGCTCTTCCTCCACTCCACCACCTGTTTTATTTTTTTTGTAGGACTTAAAAAATACATGAAGTTTTCTACTTGAAAACTGTTTGTAATCTACCCCCCCAACACACACACAACTGGAACATACATTCCATGAAGACACCAAACATGTCTATTATTCATACATGTCTTATACCTAACAAGTTCTAAATTTCTATTTAATGACTGAACAAATGAATAAATGGGGATGGTTGTTCTTCTTAATAAAACAGACTTACTAAATGTACCTCTGAACTATTATTTGGCAAAATTTTTACATATATTGGGGGAAAAGCAGATGGAGAAGTTAAGATTAAGATTCAAATTTTCTAATATGTACACTAACAACTCAAATTAACATTCCAATAAGTGCTTAGTGGCCCCCAGAATCGCCATGGTTGTTAGTATGGATTTTGAAGTCAATTGGAAGCAAATTCTGGCTGTTCAACTTTCAAAGTAAAGGCTGCAGTGATGATGCATAAGTTACTTGAACTGGATTTTCTCATTAGTACATGGATAATAACGATGAAGACAACAACAACCACAACAATAGTAATGCTTTATTGAAGCAAGTGAAGAATAGGTGAGGAAATAAGTACAGAAGATTAGTCCATTGCCATAGCTCAGTGGTCACCATTTTTTATTACTTTCCTTAATGATCAAGTCTTCAAAGCTTGTTTATACCAAATGGTATTTAAAGACAGCTTGAAAACATTAAAAATGTAGTACTAAAAAAAAAAAGTGCTTAGAAATACACACTATGCTGAAATGAATACTAACTTATACCTACAATCAAATAATCTTTCTACATTCAAATAACTTGGAGAACACGCTTTCTACATTCAAATAATTTGGAGAATATGCTTAGCTCATCATAGGAATTCAAAGAAGCCAGCCTTCAGAATTCTACACACCCATTTACTGGACAGTCCTTCTAACTCAGTCTAAATATATTTATAGTTTGGTGGTACCAGGGATCACACCCAAGGGCTCACACATGGTAGGCACTCTACCACTGAGCATATTCCCAGTTCTAACAGCTGTCCTTAAAGAGCACTCTGGGAAAAACAAGCACATAATAGAACTAAAATTTCCAATACTTGGTTAATCAGTACTAGAGCACCTTAATTTACCCAAGAACACAGTCAGATACCCATCCAAGATTTTCAAATAACAGTCAAACCTTCATTTCCCAAAATATTAAGTTCTACACCAGTATGTCTTGTAAACACTGTACATGCTGAGAATAAATACCTTTGAGTGCATGAGAAATACCACAAGCATTAAAGAACGTTGTATAACAGAAACAATACCCTCCCTCTTTAACAATCTGAGCAACACAGGGAAATATCAGTTTTTCCTGTGATGGGCAATGATTAATAACACTAATCACAACACAAGTAATAACCGTAAAACACAACAGTAACATTTCACATTTATGAGCTATAGTTTAATCAAGAGAATGAAAAATTCATAAATGATTTAGTCATACCAAAATAAGAGGAATTATACAAATCAAAATTCAATGTATTGTTATTTACTATACGTTCATTGAAAAAAGTTTCAAAGAAAAACTCCATGAAAGCAAAAAATGAAAAATTTAAGCCTACATCCACAACTACTCACTCTGGCGGTGCTGACATTTTTGTGATTTTAATTAACATTTATAGATGCACTATGTGCAGGCATTATTTTAAGCATTTTGCCAATGCATTTAATACTCAGAATAATGCCATCTTGATATATAGGAATACTGTTTTATATGTAGAAAAGGTTAAATAACTTCCCCTAAGCAATATATCCAGTAAGCAGTAAGAATTTAAATCCAGGTAGTTTAACCCAGGAGTCAGAAAAATTTCATTACACTTTTACTGGAACACAGCCACATATACTCATTTACATGTTATCCGGCTGGCTGCTTTCAGCCCATTATGGTCAGAGTTTGGTAGCTACGACAGAGACTGGATGGCCTGCAAAATCTAAAAATATTTACTATCTGATGCCCAACAGAAAAAGCTTGCCAATCTCTGGGGTAGCTCTATTTAATCTATAATTGTTGATAGAAGCTTACCTTCCAAAGACTCAATCCCAGTTGCTTGTGCCAGTAAATCTTCATGTCTTGCAACAACCTGAAAATCAAGAATGAATAAAAAGCATTTACTCTGATTACTATTACACATTTTTTTCTGTACCCAACAGAGTTGAATTAAAGGTCTCACTTAGTGTATAAAGGGGATAGGTAATAATACAAAAGGAAAACAAAGGTATGCTTGAGATGAGTAATTAACAGGAACACACACACACATTTATTGTTCAACACACAACCCTATTTTAACCTAGTTGAGCTACAAAAACAAAACACTGTAAACTTGGTAATTTATAAACAACAGAGATTTATTATTCATAGGTTTGGAAGGAGAGAAGTACAAGATCAAGGTGCCAGCAAATTCAGTATCTGGTGGGCACCAATTTTCACCACAAATGGTGCCTTCCATGTGTTCTCACATGGTAGATGAACAAGCTCCCCTGGGCCTCTCTAACAAGGGCACTAATCACATGCCAAAAGTTCCACTTGTTTGTTTTCCCCCAGTACTGAGGATTGAATTCAGGGCCTTTGCACGGAGGTACATCTCCAGCCCTTTTGTTATTTGAGAAAAGATCTCCCTAAATCACTAAGTTGCCCAGGCTGGGCTTGAATTTACAATTCTCCTGCCTCCCAGAATGCTAGACTACAGACATGTGTCACCACACCCAGTTCCACCTCTTAATACTGTCACATCGAGGGTTAAGTTTCAGCATACACGTTTTGGGAGAACAAACTTTCAGACCACAACAAGCCCCCTGCCTTCCTAATGAGATAGCAAGTGGAGGTATACCAGAAATGGGAAAATCAGCTAATTCCAGACATGCTTTTCCTTTAAAGAATGTTTAAATTCTCTTGGCTCTTGAATTTAATTCATCATCAGCAAGGCCATATATCCTAATCTGGAAAGATAAAGCACTCAATACCCATCTATCTCTGAACATCTCCCTGCTTCCACTTTCCTAGTGTCACAGCAAATGCCCCTCTCTGTAAAAGATGGTTATTTTCATGGAAATTAGGGCAATGTGAATATTTACAACAAAACAAAAATGTTAAAAATCCCCGGAAAGGTTGAAAAGCCTAAAAGTACAATCTCATAGACCCTCTTGCAGCCAATCATATAAATTTCTAAGAGATGTAAGAAACAGAAGAAAGATGCAAGCTGTTTTCCTGTTTCTGTTCCAGCTAGTAAGCAAGATTTGGAGACACGGGGATTGAGAGACAGTGGAAAGACCTATATTCATCATTTAAGTGTCTGCTCTCCAGGTATCTAGAAGCAGCGCTTCAGCAATGGCACTGGAGGTGACTGCACGAGCTCACAGGCCTCCACCCATCATCAATGGTACTTCAACTCAACCCAATAACTGACAATTTCACAAGCAACTCAATTCTCTGTTTTAAATACCTAAAATGGTTTCTATTTCCTGCACTAAGTTCTCAATGATAGTAAATCTTTTGCACTTTTAATCTCACTGATATGCTAAATTATTGTATTGTATTTTAGTCAGTCAGCATTATCCCAATTTCGCATCGATAGAAAATCACAGGAGGTTCACATCTCAAACTGCAAGTCAGAGACCTTCTCTACCTCACATTCTAAGTCCTCTCCCATCTAGGAGACAGTAAACAAATTTCACATTCTTACTGATACTTGCACAGAAAGGACTACATGCAAAGAATAAGGAAAATAATAAATACAAAAGAACAAAAATAGTTTTAAATGGATCTTGCAAAAAGCAACCCCCTGACAATTCCAAGCGCAATGAAGTATATTCTCTCCTTCTCCCACAGATACCTTGCATTTCTGTATTTAAAATGGGCATTCTTTGTCTTTATCTACCACTGATCTGAGTCCATGAATGTGTTCTATTAATTTCTCTATTTTTATGACCTAACCCAAAGCTTGACAATTACAGTGACTTCTAAGTATTTGTCATGAACTCTGAATGTTTAATCAGAATTTTCAAGTTAAAGTGACTTTACAAGTCACATCTCAAGTCTTCTAAGCTGCTGTTTTAATGGATTTTTAAAAACCTAAGGCACAAACAGGTTAAATGGCTAGATCTCATGATATATCAGATCTAGGTTTCTTGGTAAATAGTTATTTCTTTGTACATTTGTTACTCATCTAAATATTAACTCCTCAGACAAAAGGCAGTACTACAAAGTGCATCATAAAACCAACCAGAATAAACATTATAGAAATGTAGAATAGGAAAAAAGCTTCAAGATTCTGTACTGCAATCTCCTCTTCCTTAGTCATTCCAGCCCATAAAAATAAAACAAAAAACAAGGTTCAAAGACATTAAGTGATATGAAAGTCAATTAACATTATGGCTAGATTATTGTGTTCAACTGACCCCACTTATCAACTTTCTATTATTTCAGCAAATGTTATACTTTGTGCTAACAAACTATGAACTACCAACATAACATCCCAATTTTCTTATTCACACTGTTCTATTCGCAAAATTCCATTTTCTATTATCTTTATCAAAGACCTCCTTTTTTGCCCTCTATATTCACTGCACATTAATTTTTGTGGTGAACAGGAAGAATGAATAAAAGCTTTTGGAGAAGTAAATATATTATTTTCAACTAGCAAAAAGTAGTTTACAGAAAACTGCAAAAATGTAGTTTGGAAAATAAGTCACATTGGTAAGTCATGCATTTATTCAGGGAAATACACGATGAGACTTAACAAGGAAATTACACAAAGGCTAAATTATCACTTTAGACTGAATAATCTGCATGATCCAGAAGATCAGAATTACCTGTAGGTGTAGTTCTTTATCCAACTGACTGATTCCTTGTGCAACTTTCGCTAGTTGTTCAGCAATTACAGCTTGATGAATAGATTGGGAAGTATAAATCTTTACATCAAAGTGTTCATTTAAAAAGTCACGGTAACACTCTAGGGGAAAAAATAAGAAAAATTCCTTCATTACCCTGTAGTAAACCATCTTTTAAACAACAAAACAATCACAATCATACTTAATATGTTTTGACATCTTCCTAGGGAGTAAAAATTATTGTAAATGCTTCCCATGATAACAAGAAAGAAGTGGAGCAGGCAACTGCAAAAAAAAAAAACAAAACGGGGCGGGGGGGAGGGGTCTCAATGGCAAGTTCATCATGTGCCAGGCACTGGCCTACGCATTTTATTCTTCACATACTTCCTCGTTCAATCCTCACACTTCCCTGTCGGAACTATCATTTTCCCCAGTTTATATATGAGCAACAAGCACCAATACAGCATGGAACCTGTCCAATGAATGCCACTGTCTGGGATTTCAACCCAGGAATTCTAGCTGCAGAACCCATACTCTGAACCACTCTGCTATACTCCTAAATGCTTACTTTTATACACAACTAAAATGAAGGAAAACACAATTATTAACCACAGCATTTATTCCAAGAAAACAAGGTTATTGCAAGGAAGAACACAACAGAGAGATCAGTCATAATATTTAAAACCTCACAGTAATAAAAACTCTACCAACTAAGAAAACCCTAGTATCTGATGGGTTCACCATCGAATTTTACTGGAACTTCAGAGAACTAACACCAGTATTACTCAAACTCTTCTGTGAAACTGAAAGGGAAGGGGCAGTGCCAAACTCATTCTTCGAAGGCAGCATTACCCTGATACCAAAACCGGACAAGAACTCAACACCACCACCAACAAAAAACCTACAAGCCAATATCCTTGATGATCATAGATGCAAAAATAGTCAACAAGATAAGGTCAAACACAGTGCAAGTCAGCTTCATCTTAGGGATGCAAGGATGGCACAACACAGATGTGATACAACACATAAATAGAAGAAAAATCACATAATCATCTCAGTAGATCAGAAAAGCCTATGACCAAATCTAACATACCTTCATGACAAAAACCTTGACAAACCTCACATCAAATGACCCAGTTAAAAAATGGGCAAATAAGGCCAGGGATTTAGCTGGGCCAGGGATTTAGCTCAGTGGCACTGTGACTGCCTTGCAAGCACAATGTCCTGAGTTCGATCCCCGGTACTGGAAAAAAAAGTAAATGGGCAAATGAAATGAAGACACTTCTCAAAAGAAGTACTAAGGGCCAAAAAGTACATGAAAAAAAGTTTAACATTTTTGGCCATTAGAGAAATCCAAATCAAAACTCCGAGACTCCATCTTACTCCAGACAGACTGGCTGTCATCAAGGACACACACAGACAAACACACACAGAGCTGGAGGTAATGCTTCTGGACTGTTGGTGAGAATGTAAACGACTACTTACAATCACTAAGCAAATCACTATGAAGATTCCTCAAAAACTAAAACTACAGGGCCGGGGATTTAGCTCAGTGGTTCTGCCGCTTGCCTCGCAAGCACAAAGACCCGAGTTTGATCCCTGGTACCAAAAAAACCCAAAAAACTAAAACTACAAACTCCATTTGACCCACCTATACTTCTCCTGGGTATCTTCCTGAAAAAGTTAAAGACATACTAGTGATGTATGCATACCAATGTATACACCAGTGCGATTTACAATAAATTATGAAACAGCCTAGATGCCCAACAACAGATGAATGGATAAAGAAAATGTGGTATATATACAAACAATGGAGTATTGTTCAATCACCAAGAAGGATAAATTTGAGTCACTTGTAGAAAAATGAATGGATCTTGAGACTATAATCTTTTTGTCTTTTGAGACAAGATCTAGCCCTGTAGTTCAGGCTGGTCTTGAACACACTATGTGGCCCAGCCAGGCCTCAAACCCACAGCAATCCTCCTGCTTCAGCCTCCTCAGTGCTGGGATTACAGGCATGCCCCACCATACCATCTGAGACTATAATCTTAAGTGAAATAAATCAGATACAGATAGTTAAACATTGCATGCATTGTCTTATATGAGAAACCCAAAACATAAATAAAGAGTAAAATGAGAGAGATGGTAGGAAACAAGGAGACAGACCTTTTGAAAATGAGGAAGGGGATCCGGGAAGAGAGGAGAGAAGAGGGTGGATCAAAAATAATCAAGCCATTATATACATACATATATATATTTATATGTATATATACAAATATACATACGTATGTATATGTATATATACGTATATATATTTGTGTGTGAACCAATTCCCCAAAACAAATGTAATTACATATGTAATTATGAATGTAAATACATATAGAAAATATGAAAGGGAAAAATTATAACCTCAGATACTGCTAAATTGATGCCAAAATATTGTTATATAACAATAAAGTGAATCTGGAATTTTAATAAAAATAGGCAAATGTATAAATGTTACTGAAATTTGGGATTTATGGGTGATATAAGTACAATGGTGCTAGATGCTAAAAAGACAGCTTTGTAGAAGGAATCCACAAATCTATGGGTGAAAAAAAGGGAGAGAATTGAAAGTTTAAAATAGATATACAGAACTGAGCTCAAGGTACGTACAGTACATACCACAACCTCCTAATCAGATATGAGATATGGATAAGGCTGCCTGTCAGAGATTATGAAACAATCCAAACACAGCACTTTTAAGAATACTTCCACTACCAATATTCACTATAGTGGAAGCCAGAGAGTAAGGTCTTTGTTTATCCCCAGGGCCTGAACAATACCAGACACATGGCACATGCTCAGTTTCTGTTGAATTAATGTCAACATTAACGTCAGCTGACATGTATATGTCAGCTGAAAGTATCATTCTGCTAAAGGCAAATTCATTCTTCATTATTCTCAAAATGGACTAAAATAAAAGACATTAATACTTTGACCTTCATTCTGCAAATGATATTTCCTTCCAATCTGCCAATTCATTCTCAGAATTAAGAATCCTCCCAGACAAAATGGAGAAGGCCATTCCAAGAACAAGAAAGGTTTACTACAGCAATGCTGTGGTCATTAAATTTGATATGTCAACTTGAGTAACTCTACCTAGCAGACTAGTAAAGTTCTGTGTGTGTGGATGGTTGACATGTAGGCCATAAAATGAAGAAGAAAGACCCAATCCTGAAAGTGGGTAGCAGCAACTAATAGGTTTGTAGCTTTCGTGGACTAAAGGAGAAATAAGGAAGTCTCCCTTTTTTCTTCAGGAGAGCTCTGGTCTTCACTGCTGCCTTCGGAAGTTGGTCCCTGGTTCCTCAGGCTTCTAGCGCAGACATCTTCAGCTTTCCAAGACAGACTCACACAGGCAACTGCAGAGCGCCTCGGGCCTTCAACCACTACAGGTTCCTCCAGCTCTCGGGCTCACAGATGACCATTTTAGGTTTCTCCACCTCTGATTCCAGAAAAGGCCACTGAGTCTCCTCTTCCGATCCCATAAGCCTTCCTAATAAATCCCTTCTATAACTGTACATATACTTTGCATTCATCCCGTCCCTCTAGTGAACCCTAATACAAATGTCATGGCATACTTTGACAAATAAGAGGAATCATGACTTCAGCATGTCCACATGATGGAATAAATGTATTGGGCAGAAAGAGTAAAGAACGATAGATGACACTCCAAAGGAAGGTTGGTGAACATTTTGAAAAGCAGCCTATCCAAAATAGTCTCTGTATAGCCCTTTAAGGTTTTGAAAGCCAAGAACAAGCACTGTCAGCCTTGTATTCTACAATAATTTTGGCAGTAGTGTGAAGCCTGATGGAAAAGGGATTAGTTACACAGCAGTGTGGAGTTGGCTCTTGTTGGCTTCTGGCAGCCAAATATTAGATTTTCAACAATTCTCTGTGCTAGATGACATCATTTGTAAATATCTTAAAACTGACCACAAGGAGAGTATTTACCCATGGCGAGACTATTTATGCCATGGAAATAGGCCAGCACCCCCAAAATCAGGGCTTTTTCTATTTTCACAGAAAGCTGGTTTATCAGCACACATACCCATAGAGTGGAGCCACGTCAGCCAGTACAGTACAATACCACATTAACAGCCCAAGGTACATAGTAAAGGTCTCAATAAGACAGTCATTAAGATTGCCAAAGAATGGGCTGGGGATTTAACTCAGTGGCACCATGCCTGCCTGGCAAGTGCAAGGTCCCGAGTTCAATCCCTGGTACCCGGACCAAAAAAAAAAAAAAGAATGTCAAAGAAGTGACAAACCCCACAAATATCCAGACATAGCAATAATGCGTAGGGCTTAATGACAAATTGAAAACAGGTAACTAGCTAGAGCATATCAAGATTGATTTCCAAGTTTCTAGATTAAACAACTGATAATAGGAAATTCAGTTTTGCATTCAGTGAGGCTATAGGTGTTAAATACACAAAAGTGAACTTGAACAAAGCTCTACTTTCAAGGAACACAATCTTACACGAGGTACAAGCATGTGTTTCACTGAATACATATAATAAGTGGTAACAGACTACCACAGGAAAAGATTAAAGGAGTGGAAAAAAATTTTTTTGATAAGTACAAGCTTGTTCTATTTGTTCAAATATCAGTTTTCTTGGGTAGAACTACTACTATTTATTCACTATCAAGATTAAAATTCCAGTTCAATGGTCAAAATATAGCTCTACTGTTCAGAAAAATATGGCTCTATAGCTCCGAAAAGCAGTAAGGACTACACTGAAATCACAGGCATGAGCTGGGTGTGGTGGCAGAGGCTGAGGCAGGAGGATCACTGGAAGTTTAAGGCCAGCCTGAACTAGATACTGAGACCCCGCCTCAAAAAAAAAAAAAATCATACCCACACTAAGACTAGATGACTTAGGAAGAAATATTAAAATGTGCGCATGAACACACACACACAGACACACAAAGTAGTAAAATAGGGAAGGTGGGAATTCAGAAGCCAGGTAAACACCAAAAAGTTGGGGATGGATAAAAAATAACAGCAATCAGAGACAAAGTAAGAAAAAGAAATAATCATGTTACGGTTTAAGTACAAGCTGTCCCCCAGGGTGCTAACATGGATTAGTCCATTGAGGAGTTCAGAACCAAATGTGCTTGCAAAAGCTGGAGCCTGGCTGAGGAAGTGGGTCACCATGGGGTGTACCTGTGAAGTATATAACTTTCCTCTGGCTCCTTCTCCTTCTGCTTCCTGGCTGCCATACAGTGACCAGTTTCTCTGCCTTATACTTTCGCCTGATTCTGCCTTTTAGCTAGCTAGCTATGGACTGAAATCTTTCAAACCATAAGCCAAAACGAACCTTTTCTAAGTTGTGTTTGGCAGGTATTTTGTCCCAGCAACAAAAAAGGTGATTAACATAATGGCTAATGCAAAAAGTAGGAACCGTTTAAAGAACATAAGTGGTCAGTGTGTCAAAAGACCTCTCACAGGGCCAGGGATTTAGCTCAGTGGAACCACAACTGCCTCACAAGTGCAAGGTCCTGAGTCCAATCCCCAGTACCAAGAAAAAAAATGACCTCTCACAGAGGAAACACAATGAAAGCTGAATGCTAGTATTGGATTTAGCATTTGAGGACTGACATTCCTTAAAGAGCCACATCAAAAAATAAAGACATAAAATAAATACATAAATAAAAGAGCCACGTCAAGAATGTTTCCCTTTTATGGCTTCTCATTTCTATGGGAGGCACACCAAACACTTCAAAAACTTTCAAACTATGCATCTGTTCACAGGCCCTATCAAGCCTGTTCCCCCTGACGTAGTGAATCACAGCGATGGAAATGCTTAATTCCTGAGGTATTTTGGAGGATACAGGGGGAGAACACTGAATTAGGGGCATACTGAGCTGAAAAGCACCTATGAGAAAGTGAAAATAGTACCTAGAGAACTAGGAATTAAAATTTTTAAAAAGCACAGAACCCATGAGACACATGAAAAGAAGTATTTCAAGAGAGCAGTCAAACCCTTTAGAAGTTCAAATAAGGACTAAAAATGTCCATTTGAGTTATGGCCAGGAAATCACTGGAAACCTTGGCAAAGTGATTTCAACGGCACAGAATGGAAGTGATTGGACATCTGAGGAGATAGGAAGAAAATTCAGACAACAGGAGGGATCCACTAGAATTAGGAGGAGGCAGACATTCCACTTCTATTGGTGAATATTCAGGGGGGAAAAGGAAGAAGAGATAGTATTAGGTTCAGGTTCAAAGGTTTGATGGTAGAAAAAGGAACAATTTCACATCTGAAACATTCTTATTTTTCTGTTGTGTTATGGGTTGCTTGTTTTAGGAAAGTTGAATATTACCTGTTGAGTGTGAAGGAAGGGATTTATAAAGAAGATTTATAAAGATTTATAAAGAGGATTTAAATAACCACAATGGAGAATGACAAAGATAATTAAACAGGAAAATACTGTACATAAGGCATAAGCGAGGACGATATATCTTTAAAAAACTGACTTTAACTCCTAGAATATGCATCCTACTGAAACATACACTGATTGTTTGGAATATGTTGTTCCTTCCACCTGTTCATCTGGAGAAATGCTAGTTACACTTCAAAGCTAACTCCAAGCCAGGCTTGGAGACACGTGGTTGCAATCCCAGCTTCTCAGGAGGCTGAAGCAGAAGGATCACAAGTTGGAGAACAGCCTGGGCAACTTAGTGAGACCCTGTACGAAAGTAAAATTTTAAAGAGATGAACATGTAACTCAGTGGTGGAGTGCTTGCCTAGCATGCCCAAGGCCCTAGGTTCCATCCACAGTACTGGGGAAAATAAAACTACTAGAAAGGTTTCCTTGATGCTCCCTAAACACTCCCCAACCCCTAGTTACCATCTTCTGGATTAATCCTTTTACTTCATACACAATCCTATTACTCCTCTATTACGATGCCTTTATACCCCTACAAGAGTATTTCCCCCTACTAGATGGTGAGCTACTGTAAAGTGGAAAATGCATTCATATCAAGAGTTCAAAACTTGGTGAAACTGTTTAATTAAGATACATTAGCGACCCTAACCTAAACACAAGCTACTTTAGAAAACATGATTAGTTTTAACAAAAGTATTCAAATGAGTACAAAAAAGGCAAGTAAGGCAATAATATTCAACAGAAAAATAATTTAGAACTTTACTTCAAAGACTTATAACCCACTTTGGCTTACAAATGTGTGCATATATTTCTTGCAGTGACGTTCAACTTTAAAAACATTTATTCTGCACCCACTGTATGCCAGGTACAGCTAGTAACACTGGATAAAGTTTCCTACAACAGAGCAGAAGGGATTAAGCCAAGTACACAAATTATTTTCATACAAGGTACAATGTGACTTCCATTAGAGAAAAATTAAAAGCAAGTAAGAAGAGCATTATGTTTACCCTTAGAAATTTGAACTTTATTCTGAAGAATAAAATATTTGGGGCATGTTAACTGGATTAATACAACTGAATGTGCTTTTCAAGTTATACTTAACTTATCTGGGGGAACTTCTCTCCAAAACTATCACTAAATCTGACTGTGTTCGACACCAGTGGAAATCCCAGCCCAAACAAATACTCTGAACTCTCCCATATCTCGTTGTGGATAACTGCCTTGTGTTTACAAAAAAAAAAAAAAAAAAGCCGCCAAACGGAACACTCGTCCAGCCCAAGAATTTAATGGAGGTGTTTCCAGCTCTACGGTAAAACAAGCCCCTCTTTCGAAAGTGTCTTCCTTAACTGTCTCACACTTCTCTTGGGCTCGGATGCTTCGCCCTTCCGTCCAGAACTGCGGTAGCTGCCAACGCGGGCCTCTGCGCGCGGGGTCCTGCGACTTCAGGGAAGCCCCGGGCGCGAGGGGGACCGAGCTGAAATGGGGAGCCACCAGACGCGAGGAGCCAGACTTGGAAAAGGGGGTGGAAGTCGCCGGGATAACGCTACTAGGGCAGCCCCGGGACGACCGGGGGCCGTCGGAGGGGAGTGGACATGTCGAGAGCGGTAAACTTTGTGCACAGAGACGGGTTGAATCCATCACGGTGACCCAGGCACGGAACAGGACAGTTCCCCATGCCCCACGGCCAGGCCAGACCCCGACTCCTTACCGTCCCGCAGAAGCTCCCGCACAGTCGCTGCAGCCACTCCAGAACCCATACACCCCAGGCCCGCCACGGCAACGCCGCCGTCGCCACCTTCCATGTTGGCAGGTGCCGAGTTGTTGGCGTCAGCCGTCCGCGGCGGGACCGGCCGGCCCAGGTGATGACGCAGAATGCCGGCGCCGCCTGCCGCGCCAACACGTGACGCCTGGTGGCCTGCGGCCTTTCCGCACCCGCCTGGCCCGGGTCTCGTGGATAGGAGAGGCAGCGAGCGCGGAGGACCCGGGATTAAGGGCTCGACGCTCGAGGAGGACGAGACTACCAAGCTGAAGCTGTCCGCCGACTCCCGCCGCAGACCGAGGTGCGCCCTGGCGCCGGGAAGAATGAGGAGGAGGGCGCCGGAACGTGGACGCGGCGCTTAGCGCAAAAGCCAGGGCCCCGGGGCGCAGGACACTAGAGAGCGCAGAGGTTTCTGAGCGCTGGCTTCACGCCTTTATCTTTCTCTCCATTGACTGGCAATAAGTGGTTAATAAAGTGGCGGGAAAAGTTGCTAAACGCTGTTTTAAGGACTAAATAAACCTAAACGGCTCGAATACTCCTAACAACTCGTGAGCAAGTCTCATGCTACTATGCTTCCTCTCCGAGTTTTCCCTAATTTGTTTGATCTCAGCCGTGATGCAAATAGAATCGATTGTTCTTCAGGGAAGTCACATGAATTGCCCAGGGTAGTGTATTCTGTGAGTCACGTTAGATTTCATTATCCATAATACGCAGAATTAATTTTTTGTAATATTGTTAGTGGCGAATAGCATTGTCTGTGAATTACGGGTGTTATTTCCTCCTTAGCTTTTTTTTTTCTTTACACTGGAAGATTTTAGAGTACATAATATTCATACGGTGAAAAGTTTTGAGTCCCTGCCCTGCGTACCAGCAAACACAAGTTTGCAAACACAAGACGGAATTTGTACCCAAAAGGAGGTAAAAGGTAAGGTAGAAGCCTATTTCAACAGACGGTTGTGCCAGGTGCAGTGGAGTGTATGTATTTACTTCAGAAGTTTCAAGTTTGACTGCACATTGAAATCATGTAAAGAACATTTAATAATACCGATGCCTGCATCTCATAAACTCAGAGATTGAGATTTAATTGGCCTGAGATAGGACTTGGGCATCTTGATTCTTATACACTCCCAGGTCATTCTGATGTACAATCGAGGTTGAAAGCTACTGAATTATTCAGCAAATACATATTGAGGGAGACGTGCCTGCTATTTAATATGATTATAAGACTGAATAAAAATGAAATCATTCTTGCTTAAGCCACCAAAATGAGTTTGACATTAGACTCTTTCGTCTTTATTCTTCTGTGATGTTTTAAGACATTTATGCCTTCCTTTGTAATACTCTGGACTCTTGGTTTTTGAACCTCACTCTTCAGGGTTATTCTTCCCAGCTCCAAAATTCGTCTGTCGCAGTCTCCTTTGCAGTCTGTTTTCCTCTGTTGCTGAAATGTTGGTGCTTCAGAGGAGCTCTTAGAAGCTGTGGCATCTTTAAGTGCCTTGATCATGTTTTAGTTTTAACTTGTTACCTATGGTTAAAGACTTCCAATTTTGAAGAATTAGATCATGTAAAGTTAGCTTTTATCTGTTTCTGAGCTGCTAAGGTCAAAAATTTGAATATGAAAAGCAGAGATTGGAATATCAGAAGCATCAAACCCTAAAATGATCTAATTATTTTTCAGTACAGTGTAGCAACTATAAAACACTTAGAACTACATAATTTCATCACTTATAATTCATGGGAGTTTTATAAAAGTGATTTACTGATCAATGGTGATCAATTATGTGTTTCAATTGAAATTTTTGTGATAATACATTTAAATTTTTTTAAATAATAAAAGTTCATTTGCCCTCTGAGTCACAAAGAATTACAGTAAAAATACCAGGATCCTGTACTAGAGTTATTCTATTAATGCCATTTAACTTTCCTGAATAAACCAAGGTATTTTATTAAAGTTCCAGTCATTTTTAGTATTATATAGGAAATAACTCAAATTTATTGGTTTGTCAATGCCAAACAAAGTAAAATGGAAAAAGTTTAGAAGTCATGTGAGAAATCATAATATGATACACTGGCAAACAACTTCCAGTTTTCTACATCTTTGTTTTTTCACGACTCTTACTTTTTTTTCACATTTATTTATAAGTGAAGGCAGAATTCTGTGTTATCCTATTTGATAATGTAAAAGGAAGCTAAAACAATTTCTAAGCCCACAAGCCTGATAGAAAATAAATATCATTGTCATTTGAAAGTGTTAGAATGTTGGGAATTCATCACATGAAAGTACACTTTCTCCATGCAAACTGATTATCTTTTTCAGATTTGAAACAAATCTGTATTCATGAAGAGTGACTCCATACAAACGACAGTATGTCAAGAAAGGAAAAAAGATCCAATAGAAATTCTTCATTCTGGGCAGCTGGTGAAAGTCTGTGCCCCAATGGTTCGATACTCAAAGTAAGTATTGTTAAATGGTTAATGAACAAGGTTTGTAATGTTGGTTTCATGCTCTGACTTTTTAAAAGTACTATAGAGGGGGCTGGGGATTTAGCTCAGTGGTTCCGCCACCTGCCTCGCAAGCACAAGGTCCCAAGTTCGATCCCCAGTACCAAAAAAAAAAGTATTATACAGGATCTCACCACTTTGGATGTTACCGAGTTGATGCCACTTTCACATGAAGTTAGCAGTATACAAGGCCAAGTAATATCCCTGATGAGTTTCCTACAGACATTCCAGGGACCAAAGGGAACTTCAAATTAGTCAGGCATGTTTCCTTTGTGGACTGTTCTGCCCATGATATTTAGATGGCCACTATGCTGAATGGTGCAGCAATAATGGATACAGCTCTCTTGTTGATAGCTGGTACTGAGTCTTACCTTCAGCCTCAGACTTTTGAATATATACCTGGCTGCAATAGAAATCATGCAACTGAAGCATATTTTCATCTTACAGAATAAAATTGATTTGGTAAAAGAAAGGCCAAAGAACAGTATGAACAGATCTTTGCACTTGTACAAGGTACAGTAGCAGAAGGAGCTCCTCTTATTCCAATTTCTGCCCAGCTGAAATACAGTATTGAAGCTGTCTGTGAGGACACAGTAGAAGTATCAGTGCTACTTCCTAGAGACTTTACTTCAGAACCTTGACTTACCAGGTCATTTGAGGTCAACAAACCTGGTTGTGAAGTTGATGACCTTAAGGTTGTGACTGGTGGTAGTATTCTAAGAGGGGTATTAAAGGTGGGCTGGGAAATGGAAGTCCAACTTTGTATTGATTCCAAAGATAGTGAAAGTAAACTCATGTGTAAACCTATCTTTTATGTAATTGTATCACTTTTTGTGGAACATAATGATCTTCAGTATGCTGCTCCAGGGACTCTTACTGGAGTTGAAACAAAAATCAACCCCCACTTTGTGTCATGCTGACAGAATGGTGCAGCAGGTACTTGGTGCAGTTGGAACTTTACCTGAACTATTTATGGAAATGGAAATTTCCTACTTTCTACTTAGCTTCTAGGTTTACACACTGAAGGAGACAGTGAAGCAGCAGTGGTCCAAAAGCTGTCTAAAATTGAAGATCTTAAGGTCAACAGGGCAGCTTTGTCAACAGGAGGGAGAGTTAGAGCTATCAGGCTGATTTGGGCAACATTGTTTTGACTAATCCTGTGTGCCAAGAATAGGAGAAAAAATTGCCCTTTGCCAGAGAGTTGAAAAACACTGGCATTTAATTGGTTGGAATCAGAATGAACAAGAGTGACAAACCAACCTTCGATGATGACTTCAGAATCCCAGTTAAATAATACATTTGAATGGAGTTGGAATTTCTCTTAACCTAGGAGTTTATTTTCAAAGCAATACCAGGGAATTAATTTCACAGCTCATTCCCTTAGTAGGTAGCTGTAACGTTGTTCTAATTCTTGGTGATGCGTATTTACTCTCTAGTACTAATACAAGGTCTACAATAGTTTTTTTAAAATAAAGTGCTATAAAATCACCTGCCATATGACATCTTCAAACTCTTAGCTTTGGAATCATGACCTAGAATTCAGTCCTAGTATTGCCACTTGTCTGGTACACATATATCACTGTGGTATGATTCTTTTAATTCTTTTGGGAAGATACCCAGTAGGGGAATAGCTGGGTCAAATGGGACCTCTAGTCCTAGTTCTTTGAGGTATCTCCATACTGACTTCCACAGTGGTTGCACCAGTCTGCACTCCCACCAGCAATGGAGAAGGGTTCTTTTTTCCCCCCCCCTCGCCAGCATTTGTTATTTGTTGATTTCTTGATAGCAGCCATTCTTTCTGGGGTGAGGTGGAATCTCAGTGTTTTCATCTGCATCTCTCAAATGACCAGTGATGTTGAACATTTTTTCATATATTTGTTTGCTGCTTTTACTTCTTTGAGAAATGTCTGTTCACTTCAGATACCCATTTTTGAATTGGATCTTTGAATTTGGGGGGGGGGTCTCATTTTTTTCAATTCTTTATATATTCTAGATAGTAGCCCTTTGTCTGATGTACAGCTGCTAAAAAATTTTTCCCGTCTTGTAGGTTGTCTGTTAGCTCTGTTGGTGGTTTCTTTTGCAGTGCAGAAGCTTTTTAATAAGATGAGATCCCAGTTGTTGATTCTTTCTGCTAATTTCCGTGCTGCTGAGGTTTTGTTCATGAAGTCTTTTCCTGTGCCAATGTCTTCAAAAGTTCTACCTAACTTATCTTTCAGCAAGTTTAGTGTTTCTGTCTTAATATTTAGCTCTTGAATCCACTTCAATCTTAGTTTAGTGCATGGTGATAGGTATGGGTCTAGCTAGTTTCAATCTTTGGCAGGTTGAAATCCAGTTTTCCCAACACCATTTGTTAAATAGGCTATCTTTCCTCCAATGATGGTGGTTGGCTCCTTTGTCAAAGACAAGGTGGCTGAGCATGTCTGGAGTTGTTTCTGCATCTTCTAATCTATTCCACTGATCCTCAGGTCTGTTCCTTTGACTGGCACTGTTTTTACTTTGCATTTCTTATATGCCTAATGATGTTGTATATCTTTGCATATGCTTATTTATCTGTTTTTAAAGATTGTTTCTTCCCCTTTTTTTGCCCATATTCTACTTAAATCCCTTTTTTACTATTAAGGATTTTTAAATTTGTTAGAAAATACACATACCATAATATTTACCTCCTAATCATTTTAAGTGTATAGTCCAGTAGTGTTGATTAAATTCAGTGTTTTATAAAATTATTTCTCATTAAGATTTTAATGAAGTAACGAGATTCTCAGTTTTTAAAAATTAAAGTTTCGATTTTGTTGTTGTTGTTCTTAAGAGTAGGAAAAATTTATTGACAGCAAAAATAGCTTCTGTCTAAGAGAGACAAAAAGGGCACTGGAAAGTGGGTTGCCCCTAAATTTATTCTTTTAGAATAAAGATTTAAGTGCACAGATACGGCCTAAAGCCAACAGAAAAAGAGCTTTGACCTGTCGTTTCCCTATGGAAACACTGCAGTAACTCAGGATAGGCCAAAAAAGCAAACAAAAATGCAGTCCTCTGAGCTGTAGGCTTCACAGGTAGAACACACTGAACTAAATACATTGATATGGTGTGCAAGTGTGCCCTAAAGATGTACACATACATTCCTACTTGTTTTCCATCATTATAGACTATTGTAGCAGATCAAGTTGGGGTTAGAAATGTGAAAAGGTCGTAACAGTGAAAAGGAAAATGAAGGGTTCAGTGGTTCTTCAACCAGCAGTATAATAATGCTTTGCTAGTTAATTATTTTAACTTAGGAGCAGACTAAAAAAGTTGTTTTGAAATAACTGGTACCTGTAAGGGATGTATATATGATCTCTTAAAACTCCATTTCTGGTTTGATTAGCAAGAAGACTTCTATGGCGCTGATTTTTTTCTCTACCCACTGACGATTCTAGGTGTCCAGCTTCTTCAACCCCCAACCTCTGGGATATTTAGAGGGAAAAAAGAAAAACAGGGAAATGACCACCCTCTAATTTCTCAGGATGCAGTGTCACTACCCTATCTACCCTCTTCTCTTCACCTTTCAGATTTTTCCTGTTTTTTGATATATGAGTCCCATGTTTTTTGCTTATATTTAGCAAGAACAGGAAAAAGAAAGTCTATGCCATCTTCCCATAAACAGATGTTCTAATAAACTTTTCTCATGTCTCACATACAACTTTTATTACAAATACAGAACAAATTTTATAAATAATCAGAAGTGGCTTTAGCCAGGCAAAATTCAGTAACCCAGCATAACATGGATGAGGGAAAATACAGTCTGTTAGGGCTGGAGATCCCTGGAAGAGCTCTCTTAGGAGAACTCCCAATGAATTCTCTTAGGAGAGACCCGTTAGTATGTGATCAATCAGTGAATATCAATTAAAATCTCTTTACAGCCCCAAAGACATTTCACCTGTGTAGCAAAAGGCTGCATGAGAAATACATTTGCCTTTCCTTCTCTTGCCCTTTTTTATTTTAAGTCACACTGGAAGTCACAGACCCCATGCAAGAAAAGGCAGGTTTCAGAGGCTGACCCAGAAACCCAGGGTGGGGAAATCCTCATGTCCTCACACCCTTTTGCTGCCCTTATTCCCAACGAGCATCAGTAGCAGTGCAACTTTCAGTGCTATAAACAGAGCCATGAGCAGGAGCCTATTGTTCCCTTTAGGGCACTCCCACTTTGCAAGGATCAAATGCTGAGACACTGGGGCAGACAGGTTAGAAAATGCACAGGCAGAAACGTGGAACAGGACAGCTGGTGACTGGTCTGACACAGCTAGAAACTGAGCCAGGCCTGTTTCTTGCACAAATGAGGAAAGCCTCTTTTTTTATTTGAAGGCTTTGACAAAAAAGCCTGGAGAGGCTCCTGGCCAAGGGGGCCTGAGGGATTTTGGTGCCTTCCTATCCCAAGGCAGTCAGATCAACTTACACAGCTAAGTAAAAATAATCCTTTTCACAGAAGCAAGCAGTTACAAAAATTAAAATGGTAGAATGTGTCAGAAAAGGGAAAACCATGTGCCTCCAGTTGTGCATTTTTTAACATTAATTTTAACTGATGGTTAACTGTTCTTTTCCCACGTTCCAGCAGATTGCATCTGTTCAAAGTTGAGTTCCCTCATAAAGCTGTACTCTCTCTTTTTCCAGACATTTCCCTGAATAAAGCCCATGCAAGTATTAAAGATGTAGGTGCACTTACGCATTTTCCATTGGGATTGCCTGTGGACCTTGGCAAATCATTTCCCTAGTTGTTTCTGGTGGATTCTCTGGTGATGGGCTTGCCAGAGGGCTTAGGTGGTACTCTGGCTAAGCACCAAGGTCTTTAGACCCTGATCTGATCTGACAGTGGACAAGAGTATAGAATTTCCCAGTGCACTATTGCTTACATATTTGGTTTCCCTGGGTATGCTGGGTTTCATGTCAGGGTTTGGAGAGTGAAAAACATCATTGATTTTACATTTTGGGGTTTTTTTTCCTGCACATGTACTTAAGTGGAAAAGGAAATAACCCTCAAGGTTATGGCAAATTCAAGTTACACTCTGATAGGACAGGACTATGATGGGAAGAAATGAATATGCTCTGAATAAATAACTTTAAAACAAATCTAGGCTGGGAAAAAGGGGAGGGGAATAGAAACTGGCAACTCTCTTCCAAAATTGGCTTTGCCAACTTTCATTGACAAGGAAGGTTGGGTTTCCTACAGACTTCCAGATGGTACCTTTTCGTTTATTGACATTTCAGGGAGGTGCTGCAGCCTGGAAGTCCTGTATTAGGGAAGACAGTGTGAGGAGACTTTTTTCCTTTCTTTTATGAGTGTAAAGAATTCTAGGGAGGCAGGTGAGAGATGTGGAGTATGTCATCAGTGCTATGACACGACAGGTTACATCGTTTTTACTTCTGAATAAATTTATTGTGGGGGGTGGGGCGTCTGAAGTTGATGGCTTTGATTGCAGGGCACTGAAGTTCTGGGAAGAATGTTCAGTTTCATCCATCTTGTTAGAGTTGTCCGTGGGGCCTGGTCTCACCCTTCTCCTCCTCCTGCTTCTCCTTCTCCTTGTCCTTCTTGTTCTTGTCCTTCTCCTTCTCCTCCTCCTCCTTCTCCTCCTTCTTCTTGAAAAATAAGAAACATGCCAGGGCACCCATCAGAGCCACCCCAGCCATAACTCCAACCACAATGGGGAGAATACCCCATTGTGAGCGACCAGGACTTTTCTTTCGTATATTAGGTTTCACAGACAGCCTGATGATGCCACTTTTTCTGGAACTGACAGGGTTGGAGACGACACACTGATACTCCCCAGCATCTTCTTTCTTGAATGGGTCTATGGTGAAGGTGACATTGTTTGGGGACAGCTTCTTCCTCCCTGTCACCTGCACAATCTGGTTGGTGAAGAACCACCGGATGGAGATTCCAGGATCACTTGACAAGCAGGTCAGGATCACAGAATCATTTTCTCTGACTGAGGTGTGGGTGCTCTCGAGGGTGGGTTCCGACACTGGCCGGTATAAATGAAACTGTCCTCCGGTAGCTTGCAACATCATAAAATTCTGCATTATGATTCGTATGGTATAAACTCCCAGGTCTCCTTTATTGAGATTATCCAACATCATAGATCCATTGAGGAATATTTTCTGTCGACGGTTGTATAAAGGCCCATGTGTAGTTGTTTGATCAGATACCTTAAATACTGCAATGTTTTTAGCAGGATAAGCCCCATCACCTTTATACCAGAGATAGGATCTAGTTTTGCCTGCCACATTCCTGACAACTAGAACAACAGATCCCCCTTCAGCAGCATTAAAAGGCACCGCTTCAATAGTTGGTTTGGCAGTGGTAGGTGTGTTCCAGAAGATTAAAACTGAGGCTGTAAGCAGGAGCACCTGCCAGGGAACAAATCCTCTGTGGGAAGTGGCTGAGCCCATCTCCATCATCTCTGCTGCCTGCTCTGTCCTCCCTCTGGAAAAGAACTTTGGCTCCAGAAAGGTTTCCAAGCAGGTCTGCTCAGGCAGGTTGCCTCTGCTGTTCTCTCTCCCTCTTTTAATAAATATTTAGTAATTAACTAAACTTATAAATACATATGGCATCTTCTAAGTGTATAGAGTTTTGTATGTTCACAGGTTGGCTTTTAGAACACTAGTGAGAAGATACTGTTGTGATCTGTGTTACACACCAATGATAGTTGCTGCTGATTTTGTCAGATCTGTAAAAGCCAGAGACAGTGAATTTACCACCAACCAAGGTATGTGAAACGCATAGTTTGACTTCGTAAAACTTAAAAACAAATTCTTTTTTTACAAACTCAGCCGTTCTGTCTACTCAGAGACAACATAATTCAAAGATTTTATAGTCTTTTAGTTCTTAAAATGTCTTTAGTATGTAAATATCATAGTGGGTATCTTGTAAACACATTATAAACAGTGACCTATATAAGGTCAGCCTTTCTTAAGGCCCACCTACCACCTTCTCTCCTGAAGTATTATGTAAAATAAATTTCTGTCTCAGTGCCTAAAATCTTGTCCCATTCCAAACTATCCTCCAAACAGCCCATGGGATCTGTCTTTAAACATATTTAAATTTATTTTTTGGTTTTTGGTTGTTTTTTTGGTACCGGAGATCGAACTCAGGACCTTGCATTTTCGAGGCAGGCGCAGTGCCACTGAGCTAAATCCCTGGCCCATTTTAATTTAAACATGATCCTGTCTCTTCCCTGTTTACAGTCTTCCTTGAACCTCTTATTGTCCACAACACTGGTTGTCATTGTTAGCCCCAGACTAGAGGTATTAGTATTTTCCAGACACTTGCCAGAACTGAAAATTTTCCAGCTCTACCCTAGACCAACTGCATCAGAAACTGTACATGTATGGTTTTGAAAAGCTACCCAAGTAATTCTGAGCTTGCCTAAAGGTTGAGGACTTAAAGACTACAATTCCGGCACCAGCCTCTTAACTACCTCTCCTGCAGCCTTGTCTTCCATTAGTGGCTTCCTTACAGCCCACCTATTTTTTCTTCAACATTACTAAATGACTTTAAGTGTCTGAACATGCCCTGTTCTCTCACACTTCCCAGTCATATCTATCTTCCAGATAGTCTCCCTCTGGCAAACTATAGTGCATGATTCTTAACTGAGCTCTCAGTTTATAGCCAAGGAGGCTTTCCTGACCACTTTTCATTTATGCCCTCCCTCCTAAGCAGACTCCCTTGCTTCACTCAGTCCTACTGCATTATAATTTCCTCATTCTGTGCCTATCTCTCCCACTGGCTTATGGGTTCTTTGAGGACCAGAGCTATAAAAATACCTTGATTTGTGTGTCCTCAGCATCTAACACTGTGCTAAAAGTAGATGGTTGTTAAATTGAAAATCTGTACCTTGAAGTACAAAAGGAAAAAGCACCCTACACCCCCAGGAAAATAAAAGCAAATTCTTCTGTCCCATCATAATCCTGAAAACTGATGGATTGCAATAAAAGCCATAAATCAGTGCAAGAGAGGGGTGGAAGGGATAATGGCCAGAAATCTTCATTTTGATAAACACCCAGTGAGCCTTGTACAGGTAGTCTTCAAAAAAGCTTAGTATGTTAAAATACATCCATCCAGAGATTATAACACTAGCCAAAGATAGTAAAACATCTTTTCAAAACCTAGGAAAACTGACACATTTGGCTACATTGAAATTTAAACTTCTATATATTAAGTGTACAGATATACACCAAGAACTAGAAAAAAAAATACCACATATCCTCTATAATAGGGCTAATTTTTTTGTTCTGTTAAGAAAATTACAAATGATGGTAAGGAACAACAGAATCACACATAAAAAAATGTGCCAAATATGAAGAAAGCTCACAAGATACACAAATGTTACATATACATTGTAGGACAACTTGTGAGGAAACTAGTACCTTCGTGTCCATATTGATACGTATCTGTATTGGTAAAAAAATGTCTATCCAAGTGATCAGACTTTTAGGAACATACCGTGTGAATATACTCACATACAATACTTATATTTGCAAGAGTATCATTATTGCAGCGTTACATGCATGAGGTACAAATAAAAAGCAGTTTGTAAGTAGCGGATGGTCCATCCATACTGTGGAGTTTGCCACTGAGAAAATATCTGAGTGCAACTCCCAGGTACATCAGGAAAAGAACTGTAGGCATAGCAGTGTTATGTACAATGATCACTTCCGTTTACATTTAATAGGTATGCATAAAATTACTCTGGAATAAAATTAATTCCTACCTTTAGGAAGGGGGTCTGCTTGTCAGGAGTCTAGGAACACTTTTGATTTTATCAAATTTTGTAGTGTTTGGATTTTTAGTGTAAATACTTTTAAGATATTTTTAATGTTACCTTATGTGAACAGATGCTAGCTAGGCCAAAAGTATTTATTGGTATTTTGTTTACAGACATTAGAGTTTGGTATCTGTGTGGGGGTGTATTTGTGTTTATGTGTGTTTTAATGTTGAGCTATTGGTTTTATCAGGTGATTGCCCATTGATTGTTCAGTTTGCTGCTAATGATGCAAGAATTTTATCTGATGCTGCTCGTATAGTGTGTCCTTATGCGAATGGAATAGACATTAACTGTGGTTGCCCGCAGAGGTAAAGCTCAAAGAAGTTGGAAGAGTTTTTTAAAGGATTAGGAAAAAAACTATGTGAACATGGTAAAATACCTTTCTGGTTTTCCAAAAATTAAAAAGACATAAAGTTAAAGCACCAGGGCTTTAAATAAGAAAGAAGGAAAAAAAGTATAAAGAAAGATTATTTTGTAATATAATTTCATACCAGGTATGGTATCCTATACCTGGAATCCCATCACTCAAACACTGAGGCAGGAGGACCTCAAGTTCAGGACTTACACAGTGAGATCCTATCTCAAAGAAAAGGTTTTTCTTCAAAGGTTTTTCTGATAGCTGAAGTAGTATATAGATCCTTGACAAGTAATTTGTTCCCTTCAACAGTAGTATTTTTTGCATGGATCTGCCTTCAACCTCATCCATAAATAATTACATGAGAATCTAATGTTTATGACAGTCCTCGAAATGTATTTTTACTATTACATTTTTTTGCTGTAAAAACTGATTCTGTGATTTAGGAGATACCATGTATCCCATAGTTACGGTATTTGGTTGGGTTTAAGTGACTGGGTTTGGAAGGATGGACTTAATTTGACAAGAATATCCCTACTATTCTAGGTGACCTGTAAATTCAAAATGTGTCCAAAGAATAAAATCAAGGTTTTAAGAACAGCATAATCTACATCAGATTACACATATTTGTGTACTCATTAGGAGAGTTAAATGAACCGTTTAATTGTATTGGAATGCTGTAAGCCAAAAATATCATTCTATTGAGACCTCTGGATATGCACAATAAACATCAAATTTGGAATTTAAAAAGTCTGAAATAATTGCTGTTAATTACAAATACTTAAATTTGTTTTGGTTGAATGAATTCTAATTTAATATTCTCACTTGCCAGTGAAAAGTGTGAGTACTTTTTGATCTGGGAACATGTTTTCCTAATCTCATTGGTCCGCTTAGAAATGTTGACCTATGAATTTTTAAAATCTGCTTCATTCCAGATCACTAGATAAATACACAGGTGCACTTACATTTCAGTGCTTTTAGAATTTATCTTCTATCTGCTGTTTATAATTCATCTGTTATTGCATCTGCTTTATAAAGGTGGGCAATGGCAGAAGGTTATGGAGCTTGCTTAATAAATAAGCCAGAGCTTGTTCAAGATATGGTGAAACAAGTAAGAAATCAAGTGGAAAACCCCAGATTTTCAGTTTCTATTAAGATAAGGTAAAAATAACATTTAATCTCTTAATCTATAATCTATTAGTAACATTTAGCCTATGAATCTAATGAATCTCTAATTCATTTCTTAGGAAATAAAAGTATATCTTTTTGGGTAGTGATGTGGGAGCGTCTGTCCTAAATTAGTAGCTGGTATATGGAAATGTTGAAACAAGGTATTTAGTAAACAAGTATATAGCCTAGTTTTTATTTCTAATCCTGAATAACTTCCTCTTTTTATTTTTTAACAAAATTAAAACATCTCTTTATTAAAAGTTCTCACTCAATTCTCAACTTTTCCAAGTACTATTTAATTACTTTCCTGGTACCAATAGTAGAAAATAGGAAAGACAAGCAAATACAGGCAAAAGACAGCCAGGCATGGTGGTGCACACCTGAAATCCTAGCAGTCTGGGAGGCTGAGGCAGAGGGATCACAAGTTCAAGCTCAGTGTGGGTAAGCTAGCAAGACTCTGTCTTAATAAGGTAAAAATTTTAAAAGGCCTGGCGATGTAGCTCAGTGTAAAGGCCTTTGGTTCAATCCCCAGTGAAGGAAGGAAGGAAGGAAGGAAGGAAGGAAGGAAGGAAAAAAGGAAGAAAATAGGAAACACAGTTGCACTAAAATTTAACAGTTAAAAAAAAAAAATCAGTGTTTGGGTACAGTCTCCTTAGGGGTTAGAACATGCACATCAGCTATGAAGATAGATTCTGTCAGTTTCTCTATGACAGTATCTCGATAACTTTTTCATTTCTCAGTCCAAAGGAAGGCGCACCAGGTAAGGTAAAACTTACTTGTCCTCCTGTTGTTGCCAAGAGTGAAATAACTAACTTTGAGATCTTCGGTGGGAACAGATCCCTAAGCAAAACCTGACAGTATGAAATAATAATGAGATATAGCAAAGCTAAGTAATGTAGAGGATGAAATATCATTTTAGTTAATGAATTAAAATTTTAGCACTAAGATGTGTGTGCTGTGAACAGATAACATGTAATTTTGAAATAACAGGATCCATGATGACCTTACAAGAACCGTAGACTTTTGTCGAAAGGCTGAAGCAACAGGAGTTAACTGGATTACAGTCCATGGAAGAACTGTTGAAGAAAGACATCAGCCAGTCCACTATGATACCATTAAAATAATAAAGGAAAACATGTCTATACCTGTGATTGCTAATGGAGACATCAGAAGCTTAAAAGAAGCAGAAAAGATGTGGCAGATTACTAGGACAGATGGTAAGAAATAAGTATTTTGATTTTATCTTTTAATTAAAAAATAAAGTGAGGGAATCGTGTTAATTTGATTTTCATTATTTTTCTTTAACACTGAGCCATATTTTCCCAGCAGAATGATTTAAGCTAAGCAATTTATTAAAGTGCTGCTAACTTTTTTTGCTTGGAAAGAGTAAATTATTAACTGGGATAAATCAGTTATTTTTCTACTACCATCACGTCTAGTGCCCAGTTAGGAATCTTCCAGACAGCCTATTAGTGAAATAAAGGACTAGAACAGAAATGAGTTAATGAAAAGTTCATTGACCAAAAGGACCTCAGAACTGCTGCACTCATTATCACCTGAAATTACTTGCATGTGAGTCAAGCCAGATGGTAACTATGCCTAGATGGGAGAATGCATATAAGCAGTGTAATAAACAGCCGAATTTATGATAGTTTGGATTTACCTTAATGAAAAACTAAAAACTAATTGTTTAATGTAGCTGTCCTTTAAAAATAATTATATAAGTACAATTAAATTTCTTGATTTAGAAAAGGTACCAAAGTAAATTTTGTATTAAGTATCACTAATGTAATAAGGACATTATGAACCCTTGTAATAAAACTTTAATATTAATTTAATGTTTCATTGATTTTGAACTAATAACCATGGACTCTTAATGTGTGGAGAAATAAACTGTGCTTTAATTTATAGGTGTGATGGTTGCAAGAGGACTGTTGACAAACCCAGCCATGTTTGCTGGATATGAGCAAACACCACTGCAATGCATCCGGGACTGGGTTGACATTGCTCTTGAACTCGGAACTCCTTTTATTAGTTTCCATCAACATTTAATGTACATGATGGAAAAAATAACTTCAAGGCAGGAAAAGAGAATATTTAATGTGCTGTCAAGCACATCAGCAGTTTTAGATTACCTTACAGACCATTATGGCATTTGACTGGACTTTCCAAATTATTTTAATATTTTCTCTTATACCTACAATGAAATCATATAAGGTCACATCTTAGTTTTCACTTTAAATCAGTGGCTCTCAAAGTTTAGTATAAAAATAATCCCTGGGCGCATTTTTTGAAAACAAGACCTGACTGCATCCTCAGATTCTGATTCAGTGAATCAGGTGGACCAAGAAAGTTACAGTTTTAAAGAGTCAGGAGCTAGTGGTGTAGCTCAGCGATAGAACCCTTGCCTAGCATGCAGAAGGTCCTGGGTTCTATCCCCATCACCACCAAGAAATTAAACTTTACTAAAAAAGCCCAAGTGCTTCAAACATCCTGGTCATCCTAGGTCCAAACATCAAACTCTGCTCTGGATCTTAGTATGGATTGGAGGTTTTATTGTTTTGTTTTGTTTTTTCTTTCCTAAAGGAATTCTGTTTTTAACTCTTTTAAATAAAGCTTATTTTAATATTGTGAAAGTATGACTCACATTGTATCTGTAAGTTAACATGAAGTATGTTTTTAATTAAATGCAGAGAAGTGGAGGAATAAATGCCAATATCCATATAAAAAAAAACAATAGAATTGACTCAGGACTTACTTACCTTAAAAATCCAAATTGGAAGGTCAGACGGATACACTTACTAATTTAATTAGGTATGATGATGTATATATATATAGTTTAACACTCAGATTGCAGATCGCAGGAGGGATCCGCAGTGAGTGGCCACATGGCCTCTCCGTCCAGAGCTACTTAACAGCTAAGCAGAGCAGGAGTTGCTCAGTTAAGTGGCCACCTGTCACAGGTGGTGGCTCTGGGGACTTAGAATGACCAGTTGGAATTCAGGCTCTCACCCAGTTACTCAACATGTAGGGGTTAAACAGGGAACGGATTTTAAAGAAAAACGTTATTTTGCATTTCAAGAACCAGACTGCATTCCTTGTTGCCTGAGTAGGTCCAATCCTGAGCCAAAGCCCTCCTTCACTGTCTATTCTTACCAGCTTGGCTCATCACCACCCAACTCTGTCTCAGGCCCTTTCCCTAGCTTGCTGCACTTAAACTTTTCGTTAGACTTTTAACTTTTCAGTTTTGCACTTTAAAAAAAAAAGAAAAACGCTTTTCGTCAAATGTCTTCTCATTTGAAAGGTGCAGTATATAAACGTAGATGCAGTCAGAACTTCGTCAACTCAACTGAAGTGAGTTACACGAGTCTAAGGCACAGAGCACAGCAGCGTCACTGAAAGGGGGCACAGGATTTGGAAGGAACCTGTATGGAAGAGCAAAGAATTCTGTGGACCGGGGATTTAGCTCAGTGGTGTCGCTGCCTGCCTCCCAAGCACAAGGCCCCAGTACCAAGAAAAAAAAAAAATTCTAACATACGATTAAAAATGACTTCCTGATGGTTAATTTATGCTTTTCCTCTTCTGTTAACATGTCAAGTATATGTGTGATAAATATTTAAAAGGGCCGAATTAAATATGTCGTTATAGTTTGTAATTACCTATTTTCAACAACAGTTCCCGAAATAAGTCTCTAGGCAGATGGGTTTCCTTACTTTCCCGATACGTTGTCAATATTGGAAAAGCATCTTTCATTGCGCATACTCAAGACATTTGGAAAACGGTAACAGATGACCCCCAGACCCACCTTTACTACCACACCCGGAGGGGACCCTAAGGTGTATCTCCCCGCCTCGGCCAGTTATCACTGGCCCTGGAAAGGGTGGGCAAAGGTTCCGGTGCCGTCGAGAAGTCCCATTCTGTCGCGTTCCGAACAAAGCGCCGGCCCCGTAGCGAACGGAACTGAACTTCTGAACCACTGAACCCACTCCTGCGAGTCCCGGGCAGCCGCTCGTTATTACAAACTGACAGGAGCAAGGCCATAGGCCGAAGCCTGCGCCACCCTCGACGCCGCCGCGGAGTAGGAGGCCACAGCCGACCCGCCCCGCAGCTGCACCGCCCGGTCTGCGGGAGGGGGCGGGGCCGCCGGCGTCTGACGTCCCGTGCGTCGCCCGCCGCGGAGCAGCGCGGGAACCGGCGGCCAGGCGGTGAGGCTGCGGGCCTGGGTCGCAGCGGGGTGGTGCTGGGAGACCCGGGCTGGGCCCTGGGAGACCCGGAATTGGAGGCGGGAGGCGGGACGCGGGAGGCGGGAGGCGGGGTCCCCGGAGAGATCCCGCCCGCGGCCCGGAACCCCCTCCCGGACGCCGCGCCTTGGGCCGCTGACCTCGTTTTCTTCCGAGGAGCGAAGTAAAATAAGCGTTTCTCTGTTTAGGTGCGAAGACACAAAAATGACAATCCAGTGGGTGGCAGTTGCAACCTTTCTGTATACCGAAATAGGACTCATTTTACTCTTCTGTGTACCTTTCATTCCTCCTCAGAGGTAGGAAATCCTCCAATCGTTAACAGTAAATACTTGATGCGCTCCTGCAGCCTGCGGAGAGTGATAGGGAAGACATTAAGATAAAAGGTTCTGAGCGCCCGCTGTATAAAAGGTGCTCTTTAAAAACATCGTTTTGCATAATTGTGTGTACAAATGAAATAATTCTTTTCTCACTTCTCAGAGGAAAGGAGCCCAGCCCTTTTGGTTCTGTTGAGTACAGATACATTAAAACAGTGCTTGTACTTCTGTCCTGTCCTGACACCTGTCCTTGTGTCGTCAGATTTTTTTATCTTTTCTTTTATAGCCCTGAACTGAAGCAGTGAGGTAAATAAATATAAGTGGATAAATTGTTTGCAATACATCATGGGTACAAAAATGTTAAATTGGGGCAATGAAATGGCAATTTAGAAACCGAAACCAGAAAATGATTCTTGCTTTTGGCCTTAGGTAAGAAAGAAATCGTTTTGTGAATGGCAATTTTACCACATTTTACAGTGTTTCACTCAATTAATGAACGTATATTAAAAAGGGCTGAATGTGAACGTATCAAACCACGTCATTAAGTAGTGCTGGGCATTTTAATCTAAGCATTGACTCACTTTATCCTTATAACAATACTCATTAGGAGTTTAGTTTTAGATCCAGGAATTGGATAGTGTAGAAGATGAAACACATTTGTGATGAAAATGTTGCAAGGAATTTGTTTACACTCGTGGTATAAAAAATATTTCGTGAGAGCCTAGAGATAACCCACTTTAAACCATGGCATAATACAGTCCTGGGACTGGAAGAAAAGTTTACTTTGGCTCAGAATCAGTGTAGTCTTTTACAACTCTTGCTCCCCTATCAACTCACTTCTGTTCTTGTCTATCAGCTAGCTATACTGTGGCTTTTTTCTTCCTTACGAGAGAAAAAAGTTAAATCATACTGTTGTAGTAGGGAGGATCTTCAGTTATTTCATCCAACCCACTCTTCTCACATACTGAGATCCCAAGAGGCCAGATGACCAGGCTGAGGTCCCCTAACTGATCTGTGACAGATTCCACAGAAAAGTATGGCCTTTAGGCCAGTGCTTTCTGCTCCTGGCACTGACTCTTCTTTCAAATCTCTAGTAACACCTGTTTTTCTTTCTGATAGTATCTAAAACAAAAGAACCCCATATGTTGAAAAGAAAAATCTTGTTTATAAACATTTCACTGATAAAGAAGGCTTAAGGATTTAAAAGCAACTTGTCAGTTGATCTCTTTCTCCATCAGAGTGACTCATAAATTATAGATCAGTCTTTTTCTTCCTGCCAAATACAGCTTTTTACCTATCCTGAACAAGTACCTGTTAGATATGTATATATGTGCATATGATATAAATTCTCTCGTGTACAATTAAAAGTAAGAAAGTATGGTATATTTACAGTATGTCCCTGCAGTGTGTGTATTAACATCTTTACCTTTTTTTATGTGTATTGCCATAGTCTAGCCTTCAAAGAAAAGACTTCAGTCTTCCTTTAGTCTCTGGTCTTTTCGCAGATAACCCGGTGGTTAAAGGCACATGCTCAGAAATGACTGCTTGAGTTTGTGTCCCAACTCTTACTAATGATTTTCTTTTGGGATACCTGGGATCAAACTCGGGACCTTGTGCTTGCAAGCCAGGCAGTGGAACCACTGAGCTAAATCCCCAACCCTCTTACTAATGCTCTTCAATCCATCTAGACTATTTATGTTCCCATCTCATTTCCCCTGTGTTCAGATCTTTATCTGGGTAGAAGGTAAATCTCATGAATATATACATACATGAAAATTACATGGGTATATACAAACGTAAAAATTAACCAAGGTATATATGTAACTTTTTTTTCACTTTTATATATGTGTGAGTGTGATAAGATTTTTTACATCCCTCGTGGTTAAAGTAGAGAAACTCCTCTACCTGGAGATATTAAAAATGTACTACACAAAAATAAATGTGCACTTTAATAAGCCACCTTCACCTGAAATGTTGCTAATTGTTAGATGAATAGACTGTCATTTCTTACTGTAAGAATACCTTTTTAAAGGTTTTTTGGTTTTGGTTTTTGTGTTTTTGCTTGGTTTTCGTTTTTGGGGTTTTGGGTGTTTTAGAGACGGAGTCTCACTATGTGTAGTTCAGGCAGGCCTTTGAACTTACTGGGTAGCCCGGGCTGGGTTCAAACTCATGGCAATCATCCTGCCTCAGCCTCTCAAGTGCTGGGACTAAAGGCGTGCACCCCCATGCCCTGTACTTTATTTTAAGGTTTTGCTCATGTATGTTTAAAAGTTATTTTCACCTTAAAATGTTTAAACCACTAGACAAAAGTTAGTCAATGTCAGATTATTAAACTTAAAAGGGTTATTTTTCTGTTTCATTATTCTATGTCATATCCAAGAACTAATCAGTATTAAAATTAAATTTCGCTACTTCTTTTTACTTTACTAAAGTGTTACTTCAGCATTTCAAAAGCTACTTTATTTTTATACCTAATGTAATTGTATTGCTTAACAGATGGCAGAAGATTTTGTCATTTAATGTCTGGGGTAAAATTGCAACGTTTTGGAACAAGGCTTTCCTAACAATTATAGTCCTATTGATCGTTCTATTTCTAGGTAAGTAATAGATTCCCTCCTTTAAATATGCATAACTCTGGTTCTTTTTTAATGACTTCCTTGGTTAATAATTATAGAGATTGCTGTTGATATACAGTTGGCCTTATACAGTATATTGATAGTAGATAGATACTGATATCTTGATACACACTTGATAGTCTTCTACATGCAGAAGCAAAAATTTCAGGAGAGTGCAGAGGTTCTTCACATCTTTTAGGTTGGTTTAAGGTTACATAATTGCACCAGTGCATAGCCAGCTTTTCAGAGTTGCCAATAGCTATTTCTCATGGTTACTAGTTATACAGTTCTTTGTTACAGTGGTATTCTAGAGTCTTAACTGTTAGGAGATAAAGAAATAGAATCTTCATGTTCTGAAACAGAATCTTAGATGCAGAGTTTGAATCTTGATTGGATCCTGGTATCTTCATTTGTAGATGCAAATACTCCAAAATCCAGAAACATCCTAAATCCAAAACTCTTCTGGTCCCATACATTTTGGATAAGGAATAGGTTTTCATCCTGTTTGAAATTTGCATGATAACATTATTTTAGAAATTAAAAGTAGAGCTTTAAAGGTTCTTGTCAAAACAAAAGTCCATAAGTCTTAATAATCACTGTGGGTTTTTTGGAAGTAATACTGAGTTCAGACAGATTGACTTGTCTGAGATCACCTAGCTACTTCTTGAAGTATCACTTCTTGGCATTTCAGCTTTTTTTTTTTTTTCTGTTTGTTTGAGATAGAATATCGAACTCACTACATAGCCCAGGCTGGCCTAAAACTCACTGTGATCCTCTTGCCTCAGCCTCCCAAGTGCTGGGATTAAAGGCATGTGCCACCATGCCCAGTTCAGCAACTTGGCTTTTCATACACATTACAGAATATGTTCTCCCTCAGAATTCCCTCCCAGTTATGTTGTGCGTTAAGTTTTCCTGGGGCCAACCTGGGACTATACCCACCACGTTCGACACTGTTTTGTGAGAATCGATTGCATGTTCCCCACTACCAACCTCTGAAACAGAATCAGTCCTCTTTATAAAACTGAATATCTGTTGTGGAGAGGGTATGGTATTGTTAAAAACAGGAAGGTAATTGTATTACGTTGTGAATGGGTTTGTGCCACATTTCAGAATGTCAGTATTCATCTCATGGTCTGTTAATACTAATGCAGTGAATCTCCAGCTATATAATAAAGCATGGTAAACTAGTAAAGAGATAAAGAAAACTGGTCTCTACCCTACTCCCACTAGCTGGATGACCGTGGGAATGGCATTTCATCTCTCTCAGTTATTCATCTGTAACATAATTCACACTCTGAAATTACCCTCAGAATTTTTACTGAAGGCTGCCACTTATCGGTGTAAGAGAGGAGAGCTGCGGTTCAGGTCCTTTGGCTCACGTATATCATAAGCCAACTTACACTCACATGAGCAAGGAGAAATTACACTGAAATATAAAGTCGTTTCAGAGCAGCTCAAGGAAGGAAGGAAGAAACCCTATTCCAGAGAGGGAGTGGTCCTAAGAATTGAAATGCCCTTCCTTTATCCCTGCATATCTGTGTTTGTCTCCTTCATTCTTACCTCTGTATACTCTGATTGTCCACCCTCAAGACAGACAATAGGCACACACAGCTGCCAGATGTTATCACTTCAACCACGTACAGTACCAAGATTAATTAGCCATCTCTGAATCCCAACTTTAAGTTCCAAGAAAACAAATTGGTCCAGTTAACACCATGTAACCACTCTTCATCTGGAAAGATATGGCTAGAGTGCCACAAAGCAGAATCCAAACAGCTGGCTGGAGCCTGCATCTGCAGGCAGAATGGGTAATTCTGCTCCATTAACATCACGGGTAGTTAAGGCAGCCAGATAAAACTTACCTTTAAATTTCAGGGTCTTTATCTCAAAATGATCTTATAGTGCCTGCTTCCTTAAGGTGTTTTAAGGTTTTAATATAGTAATACATGTGAAGTGCATAATGCAGAGTCCTAGTCTACTAAAATAAAATGTTGTAATGCAGAACTAATAGATTACTTGAGCGTAGTTTGTATTTTGTTTGTGAAATGTGTTTCATTTTTCTTGTTGATTCTGTCTCTAAT